TGTCATGCCTAGTTCAGGCACAGGTTTGTATGAGACTTGGTGTAAACCAAGTCTCAATTATCGTCCTCTGAAATTACCAATATAAAATTTAATGTGGTATTTCTACCTTCAGCCCTTGCAGTTACTGGAGTGCAGGTTAAAAGCTGCGTTTATTGCAGGCATTTATTTTTATTAAGAATGGATCTTTGCAGTCCATCAAAAACACTCAGCTTGGGAGGAAATGCACTATAGTTCCTTCTGCTATCACCTGTAGTTTCCAGCATGGTAAACTGTGTTCTCAGTGGTACAGCATATAGACCAACACACGGTGCAAGGCATGTATGTGCAAAGCATGGGCTGTTAGAGACATCCTACAGGTCACCAGTGTTGGCCTAGGGCATGTTTTGTCTCTGGCAAATGTCCCCTGTCATCCCATGAGGGCAGACTGCTGTGGACAGAGTGCTCCTCAGGATCCTCTGAAGTCACAGCAGAACCTTTGCTGCCAGAGGGGATGAGACTTCACCCTGCTTGTCCAGGAGCTAGGGAGAGGTGTTTCCCCGCTGCCTCCGTGCTGGGATCTGATGGGGCAATGTGTAAGGCAGGGCTGGAAAATAAATTTCCAGAGGACAGTGTCTGAGAGGCAAGAAAGGAGAGGTTACCCTGTGCCTAGCTCTGCATTAAGTAACAAGAAGCCATAAATGTAAAGCAGTTTACTGCTGTTATTTTTAAACTAAGAACGCAAAATTGATAGACTCAGGTCAGACTGAAGCTGCACCATCCTTGGCCGTCCAAAGCTAGTGCCTTTGGAAAAGTACAAGGACAGGGCAAATGTATACTGATTTCCCTCCCAAAACATTCTCCCTAGGCTATTCGTACTACAGTGATTTCCTGAACTGAGGCGGTGCCTTTGTTAGTAGCCTGTAATTTGCTTCCTTGAATTTGCCCTTAAATTGCATCAAACTCCATAACTTGCCTTGAAGCTACCAAGCTTTCCAGCACTGAGCTGTGGGTCAAGCCCAGGCTGTGGCAGCAGTCAGAGCTGCCCTAGGAAAGTTGTTCTGAGGTATCACCCTGACCTTGTCGGGGGCAGTCAGATAAGTCCTTGTGTCCCTCTGGCCTCTCTGGCCAACCTGCAATTTGACTGTGTGTTTTTCCTGCCCAAGAGCTTCCTCCTGGCTGTCAGGGGAGGTCGTGCTCTCAGCCCCCACTGTCAGGCAAAGGCAGTTTTTGTGTGCCTGCTGTCCTCTCCCACTGCAGGAGAGTACTCTTTCCTTCCAGGATCTACAGCAGCATGATAGTAAATGCCACCAAAGGCACTCACATTTCCCTTAGCACACAAGAAAGGAGAATCAAGTCACGGTTGGGCTTGTAATTAAGTGTAACAGCAACAGCTTGTATACTGAAGTTGTCTTATGTTTGCTGTACCCATTCATGTACATTATGCTGAGATCCTTTTGTTAACAGTTCACTTGGGTCTTGTGTGTCAGCACATGTGGTGAGGAGCTGTAAGAGGTGTTGTCTAGGCAATGTGTCGCAAGTGCTGAGAACAGAGAAGCAGGACGAAAAACCTGTGATTGCTAACATCTAGTGTTTCCTGACCACCAAGCATTTACTACTTCACCAGCTGCAAAAGGAAAACAACATTTCAAAGAAGTGCTCTGGGTCAGCAGCTCTTTTGCTTTGGGAGCTGATAACTCTCACAGTTTCTGAGATGCCACCCGCTACCTTTGCCATCAAAGGAGAATACGATCAAGAAAATGTAGTGTGGTGTTCAGTGCAGGTCCTTAGCCTCTGTCCAACAGACTCATGGCCCCTTCTGCAGGGACCACTGCCCTTCTCCAGGCAGCACTGCCTTTCTCCAGGCAGATAACAAACCTGGGCTGGGCTTGTCTTCCTCAGCCTCTGCCAAGCCCCTCCCCAAAGGTTTATCTTACCAGGCTTTGTTTAAAGCAGACCAGAATGCAGAGTCTGAAGCACTGGGCTTTCACAGCGGGTTTTGGTGCCAAATCCAGTGTAATCATTGCATTTCCTTTCCCTGCTGACCTCCCTGCCTGCAGACAGCCTGTAATGTAATGTCCTGGGAATGTTCTGTTTTGGGAGGTGGAAGAGACACCAAGGGTGTCCCTCAGAAAGCACTACAGGGAGGAAAATGCACACTGCTGGAGACAGAAGGAAAGCAGTGATGCTCAGGATAGACAGAGCCGTTCCATTTGACTCCTGCTGTGGCGAGCCTGATGCTTTTAACCCTGAAAGGATACTCTGCAGTCACATGAGCCTTTTAGCTGGTAAAAATCAGAGCCCTGTGGCAGGAGTTCAGGGGGTTCCTGAGCTGGCTGAGCATGCCTGGAGAGTGGGTGCCATCACAGTGGCCCTGGACAATACAGTAGCCCTCTGTTTTTTTATCCTACAGCAGATTGTGTAAACTACTGACTGGATAAGGCCAAAGAAGTGAGTTACTTTTTAGTCAGTCACACTTAAAAAGTTTTAACTAGGCAAAACATATTTGCCTTTGAAACAGAGAAGCCCCCAGCTGCAGATACTTGTCACCAGAGGTTCCTATCAAGGGGTGCCCTTCCCACTATGTGGGTGAACAAACCCAGTTTCCTTCCCAACAACATCAGCTCTGATCAGTCCGATCACACTGGGTTCTGAATTTGTGAAATTTGAAGAGCAGTGAGAAATTTATGGACTTTATAGTTTGCAGATTTTGTAAAAAATTGTAGTTGTTTGTAGTAATAAACAAATCTTTACTTGCTTTATGTAGAGGATGCTCTTGGATTACATCTTTAGGCTCTTCTCTGTAGCTATGAGACTGCTCCATAAAAATTGAGAGCAGGGAGTCTTCCATTATCACTGAACTGAGGGAGCATGAAGTTGAAAATGTTAGCCATTGCAAGGCTTATCATAAAAGCATGAGAATTGCTTAGACCTTGATATTTGCAGGCGGGACTGGGACTGGTATTCTGCTCACATGCAGGAAATCAAAGTCTGGACAAACCAGTATTTGATAACCTATTTCTGCCGGTGTCTTTTTTACTTGTTTGTGGGGTTTTTGTTTGTTTGGGCTTTTTTTTTTTTTACTTTTGTTAGTATGTGACCCTTGCTAGAAGTTGTGAAAAATGCTATATATTCCCTTGGTACTCTATGTATGGTTGTATATTTATGTTCTTTATTAAAATCTGAATGAAGGAAAATGGACAAGATTCCACTCCATTACCCATGCTCAACTTCAGCAGCTGCATGGACTTGTGGTGAAGCAAGAGTTTAATGGAGTACATCCAAAAGTCCACTACTAGCATGCATGGTAACAGCTGTTATAAAATTACAGAGAATAAATGTTTGGCAATTCTCCTCTAGCAAGGCTACCTTGTGCCATCAGCCCCAAGGCCCAGTTCAGCCTCCCCATTCAGGAGTGCTGCATATTTAGAGGAGGGAAGTCCATTTTGGTATTGGTAATCCTTCTGAGGTGAGGCAGGATTTGCAGAACCACAGAATTTGGGGGAAAATCAGGTTGGCAGACACATCATGGGGTCATCTGCTCCAAACCCCCTCTGAAAGCAGGCACTGACTGATGGCTGCAAGCTGATGCCTTCATCAGGTTTATCTGCAGGATGCAGGGTCAAGGTGGCTGCTGTGGGATTCACCTGCTGGACATCTGTGATAGAGACCTTCCCCCTGAGCCAGCTCACTCCACTGTACTCATGCTCAGCAAAGGCAAACGGGAATGGTAAGGGTTTTGTCCCAATTTGGAGAAGTTGAGCCAGGTGTGGTCAGGTGAATCCCACCCAGGACCACACACCTGTGGCATATTTCTCACTGCTTTATGATCAATGTCAACAGGGAAAATGACAGTGTGAAAACTGCCTTTGGATGAAAAACCTAAAATGAAAATGAAATGAAAAGCTTTTTTTTCTTTCTCTCCCTGGGGCAGATGAGCCACCTGCCGTGCCTGGACCCCAGCCTGGCTGCTGGGGAGATGCAGTCCCCCAGAATGGTGGGGAGGAAGCGAGGGAGACCCCCACTCCAGCCCACACCCATCAAAGTGGCTGTTCACAACCTCTTCTCAGCACCAGCTGGTGCTTTGCCGGTCGTGAAGATCCCAAAGAAGAGAGGGAGAAAACCCGGGCACAAGGTAGATACATGATTTTCACATTCCTTCTCCACCTCCTGCTGGTTTTAATACATCTTTTCCTAGAATTTCAGCTGGAATAAAGGCATAGTTGTGCGAGCATGGGGCAGAGCAATGCCAAAAAAAAGCAAGAGAAGACAATTTCCCTTCTACCTGAGCTGGTGAAAAATAGAGAGAAACTGCATATGAGGTTATTGTGTTATTTGGCAAATGATTTAATCACCTCAAAGACTGCATTTCCCCACATCTCCAAAATATTATTGCCCCAGACGGATGGTTTTGATCTAAAGAGCCTACAAGTCACTCGTCTGACTGATAATAATTAAATGACTTGAAATAAATAAATATAATAAATAATAAACTTGCAATAACAAGTACCCCAAGTAAAGCAATTCAGACTTTTCCATCATGGAGTTTTATCCTAACACAGAAGTGAAAAATAGAAAGTATTTCCCACATTTTACAAAACAGCAGAGTATTTGCCCCAATCTTAGCTTGGACATGCAGCTCTATTTTGGACTATTGCTAAAAAATTCTGCAGTCATCCCAAAAGGGACACCTGACACTGCTGTCAGGCTGGCTCTGCTTGGTTCTGCTGTTACATCATTTGCATTACCAAAGAGAAAACTGTGCAAATGGGCAACTGCAGCTGGAACTGTTTCTTAGCCATGCAAAGTCTCTTCTCCATACACACTGAAACACACTTGAAAATGTGTCCCACTAGAAAAGAGGAGTATGGATGAAGTCAGGAGAGCATGGAAAGAACCAAGAGAAGGCAGAGGATGAGGAGAAGGCATTAAGGATTTAGGTACTGATGGCTACTGCAGTAGGTGTTGCACAAGAGGATGCAGAGGATTAGGGGACTCAGGAAATGGAATGCAGAGGGGTTGTGAAGAGGCCAAAAAAATGCTGGGGTGTATGTTTTGTTCCACCCCAAAAGCACATGTGGGTGCATTTCACACCACCTGTGAAAAACTCTTTCACCAACCACCACATATCTGTAAACTGGAGAAGAGGGAGACTTAAATTCCTTGAAATACTATAGTAATACTGCACGTTGGACCTACATGGTTGAGCACTTGATTGCTCTGTCCCCCTCTTCTTCTGAACCAAAACTTTTCCCCTGGCTGGGTGCCACACACACCTCCTCCCCATTCCCAGGCCCTTAGTGAGGAGGTGACAACATCCCTCCTTGGGCAGTGAATCTGGGATAAGTGCCATGGTCTAGTAATGATGGTAGGGTTGGACTCAACGAACTTTGAGGTCTCTTCCAACCTGGTTGATTCTATGATTCTATGATTCATGGTGAGTTATGGCAAGTAAAAAGTCATCCTTTTATAACTGATGGCTCAGGATGATGGAGCTGACATGAGCTGCAGCATCTGTGGCATCTGGCCTGGTGCTGTTATTTGTGCTATAGGATTCATCCACGGAAGAGATGTTTTCCGTGAGGTGCCTTTGTACGCCGTGTGCTCAGCTGAAGTGAGCTCCTCTCAATCACAAACACTTCCCCAGTGTGAGTCAAAGATTGCATTTTTTGATGGGGAACTCTAGCTTGATTTAATTAGCTCGATAATTGTATGACTTTCAGATACCATGAGACTTAAATGCATTTTAAAAAATGACTCCCTGCCCAAATGGCAGGCAACCAAATTCTTTATAGCAACCAGATAGCTGAATTATTACAGAACAGATGGGAAAATACTTCTGAATTTTTAGCAAACTAGGAATTTACAGCCTAGATTTAAATTTATTTTGACTGAGATGTGAATAACAGACATTTTTATGTCATGTGCTCTTTACAGACAGGTGACCCATTGCCTGTTTTCATTGATATTAAAGCAAATATCTGTGTCTTCCTCAAATAGCATTTCATCACACTTCACCACTAAGCAAAGTCCTTTTCTTCACTGTCCTGTTTATTTTTTCACAGCTTTGGCTATAAAATTTCATCAGCTATTTTTCCAAAAACTGTTTTGTACCTTATGTGGAGCTATTTGCCATAAAATGTTAAATTTCCCCTAAATACAGTATTTTTTATGATTGTCTAAATCTCTAGGAAAAAGTCTATTCTGGCATCTGGGGTGGAGAGGTTAGTAGATGGATGGGTTTTATTCCTCTGGCTGTGAGAGAGGGCAGCCCCAAGAGCTGCCTGGTAAACCTGTGTGAGGGGAGGGTTGGTGGACACTGTGTGGGGACTCGTGGTGTTAGAGGTTATTGGAGGGACACACATGGGGCAGTGCTGTAGCAAAGAGCACCACATCCCTCCCAGAGGGCAGCAAAGCAGCTGGAGTAGTTTGTTCCTCTGTGCAACCAAAGTAGCTCCTGCCTGGGGAGGTGGCCAGAACCTTGCAAGTTCTTGCCAGGTGAGTGGGCAGCAAAAGTCACCCATGTGGAGTGACAATTTCCATTACAGGGCATAGGTTTCCCTGCTGCCCTAGAAGTCACTACTAATGATGACAAATAAGCAGTCAGGATTTGGACACACCGGGAATGAGATTGCACAGACAACCTTAAAGTGCCCTGATTATTCACCTGTCCTGTGATGGAGCCTTGGATTTCAAGGTTGTTTACACTCCTGTTGAGGTTACCTGCCTCATTCACTGCAAAACACTTAGGGCGTGTAGGAGGCTGTGTGCAGACACCCTGCATCATTTGCTGTGCAGAAGAAAGGTATTGCATGACACAAGAAGAAGAGATGGGAAAAACCTTTGGCTGTTTTGCTTTTGCCAGCATAGTGCTGACCCCTCTCTGCTGCAGTGACTGAGCTTGCCTTACACTGAGCCTCCCCACCCACAGCCAAATGCACAGAGGTCATGAGGTATAGACATGGACCCTAAAACATGTACTCAGAAGCTCTGTGCTTCCCTGGTGCAGGTTTTGCTCCAGCAGCAGAAGTTCTTGTGGCCAAGATGTGCCTCTACCCTCCTGCCTGGAAGGACACAGGCCCATGGGGATGGGGTGAATCCAGCTTTTTCTAAAAAATATTTTTTCAGGACAAGGGACAACTGGTGCAGACGAACTAGGAACCATAAAGATGAGAACCTATATGTAAGTGGTTTAAGTAAACTACAGGGAAAATTTGTATCGTGGATCATCATGTTTCCAACTTATTTTATTATGCAAGCTGGCAGAGAACTTGTTCAGAAGGGAAAAAAATGTTGCCTGTGAAATGTTCTTCGCCCTCTTTTACTTTTTTTTTTGGTGTGGGATGACAGAAATACCAGCTAGATGAATTCTGACTGCTCCGAAAGGGTGTGCAGATTATAATAAAAACTCCAGGACCCGGCAGGGTCCTCCATATTCACAGCCACTGCATACTCAAACAAGCTTGTAACTGGCATCGGTGGCACAAAAGCCCATACTCTCTCTGCACCTAATGTGTGGTGACTTTGGTGATGCAGACACATTTATTTCTGACCTTAAATCACTAATCCACTTTATTCTATCTCTTTTCCATGGTAGAAAGTCCATATGAGTGAAGTGGTGGTGATTGCAGAACTCGTTTTAAAGCAGCCATTGCTTTTTGATCTTATGCTGTCCATATTAAAATTTATGAATCTGATATTCAAAAACTGATTCAAAAGCCTTACCACAATGATCTCCCAAAGGGCTCTGACAGAATTCCTCTGAATCCTTTTCTCTCTTTCTTTCTCTCTTCTTCGCTGCTTTTTTTCACTTTCATGCATATGTGCTCTCTACTGCCAAGCTCTAGTCAGTCAGCTGGTTGGTTGAGTTGGCTTGTTGATAAAGAAGAATCAGTCCAAGAAAAGACATCTTGAAATGCAATACTTTGAGAATTACACTTTGTGATACTCAGGGACTCATCAGGGTTTCAGTGGCCAGGAGGTAGCTGAGCTGTGTTTGCTAGTGCACTGTCTCTTGCAATCAGGCATTGCTTTATTTTGATTTAATGAAGGCATACTCTCTGCTACCCCTAATAAAATGGCATTCATCTGTACCCAGAGGCTGTAGAGCACATTCTGTTGCAATTAAGTTTGCAGTAAACTGTTCACTAAAACAGGAAACTGCCAAGAAGGAGTTTCCAAGCTAGAGAGTTTACACAAGTCTTGCCCTCTGTTTACTTGTGCGTGAACATAAGCCTGCCTGGGGCTCCAAGAGCCAGGGAGCTGGTGGAGAAAGAGCACTGGGCACTCTCCCACCTCCACAAGGCTGGTGGTGTTGGTGAGACAGCACACACTCACAAGGCTCAAGGGTTGGAGAGGGGACTTGTGCACCTCTATTTGGGATAGCAGGACTGTGAGGAAGGATATTAAGGAGCCAACATGCAAGAGAAACAGAAGTCATTAGGTGTGCTGTCTCCAAAACAGTATCTATGTAGATAAATGCATGTGTAAGTGCATATATGAGTTGCTGGAACACCTCTAGAGAAGGGCAACAAAGATTGTGAAGGGTCTAGAGCACAAGTTTTATGAGGAGTGACTGAGGCTGTTTAGCTTGGGAGAAAGGAGACTCCAGGGGACCTTATTTCTCTCTATAACTTCCTGAAAGAAGGTTGCAGACAGCTGGGGTTTGGTCTCTTCTCCTAGGCAGCAAGTGATAGGACAAGAGGAAATAGCCTCAAGTTACTCTAGGGGAGGCTTTGATTGGATATTAGAAAAAGTTTCTTCACTGAAATGGTGCTCAAACGTTAGAACAGGGGCAGGGGTGGATTCACTGGAGTTGTCCCTGGAATTGTTCAGAAAATGTGTAGATAAGGTGTTTAAGGACATGGTTCAGTGGTGGTCCTGGCAGTGTTAGATTAATGGTTGGACTTGGTGATCCTAGAGGTCTTTCCAACCTGAATGATTCTGTGATTCTATATATATGAGTAATACAAGTATACCTGTCTACACAGGTATATACTTCTATGTATGTGTATATAGTATGTACTAATGCACATATGTATATATGCATTTATTATATATGCATGTATGTGTATGATCAGAAACAAGCCCAGAAGCCTAACATAGGAGCTGCCCAAAGTTTCACACTGCACCACAGACGAGTGAGTCATTGACATGTTGCTATACAAAATAATAAATCGTGCTGCTTCTCACCTTCTCACATGGAATAAATCCCAAACTGGATGGAGACCTTGATTTTTGAAACTGTTCTCTTCCCATTTAATTGCATGAAAAGCAAACTGACAGCACTTTGTGGCTGATCATTCCTGATCCTAATCTGAAGGCAAGATAACCCTACAAAACTAGGACCAACACAGGCAGGTGAGAACTGGCACTGCTCAGGAACCAGCTCACAGTCCCACGTACTCTTGACTCTACGACTGCCACATAGCAGGAGGTCAAATCCATAGCTTGTCTTAAATTCAGGTATCGAACATTTTCTCCCTTGTTCAGACTGAAAACAAAAGGTTTTAGCCTGCCCCGAGGGAGGCATTGGTAAAATCTCACTTGCATGACACCAACTCCAACAGCCTTACCTCTCCCTTCCCCATCTTTCTGTTTTTACAATTATATGGAAAGAG